TAGCTCAATGATGTGCGCGGCAGCTTCAAGATACAAACGTAGGGCCAACTTCCACTAAGAGAAAGCCTCTCAAGTGGGGCAACTTGTTGACAAAGTCGCCTGCGTGTGGTGGCTGTCCAGAACATATCATCACCTCCATCGGAACTGATGAAGCTGTCGTTTTGAAGCCTCAGAGTCTTCAGAGCTGGGAAGTCGAAATGACTGAGGATGCTAGGATCTATTGGGTCGCTAAACGCAAATGTCAGATCGCTGAGATGATGGAACGCCACACGTTCAGCGGTTGAGGGACTTGGCATGCCAGTGAAGTCCTCAATGATGTCAAAGAAACCATGGTGAAGTGCTGGGCACATGGGAAATAGCTGCAGCCACAAATGGGATTCGAGGAGGTTGACGAGGATGAGATGAGTCAATTGACTCCACGGAAGAACAAGCTGCAGAGGGGTGGATCCTACGAATGAAAGGTTGTCCATGCGCAGTCGTTGAAGGCGGGGAGCAAAGGGAAAAAGAGGGGTTTCCAAGTCAGCGTAGACGTCGACACCACCCCGAATAATCACAGACTCTAATTGAAGAAATTGGAGGGTAGACCACAATATGTCGGGATAAGAAAGCTGTGCCTGTGTTGGCTGTGATGCGGATAATTGAAGGTAGGTACCGGTGGGGTTCGAACAGACAAAGTGTTTCAAATCAAAGTCAAGGTGGCAAAATCGAGAGGCAAATGGAGTGACGCAGGCGGTGAACGTTTCCATCACGTCATAATCATGGTGACAGGCTTCAGAAGTGAATTTGAAAGACAACGGAAGCTGGTTCGAGTGGGAAAACCACCTATTCAGCAGCTGGGGCAACTCTTTCTGCACTTCCAGATCAATACCCTCTGTGCAGACGAAAGCTGCGGTCCACAACCTGGGTAAACCGCTAGCAATCTTTTGCCAGCTTTTGCAGACATGGCAAAAAAGTATCGGGGGTTCCGTCGATCTGCTGCTGCTGAGCAATGGTGGATGGTCGCTGTGAGAAATACAAAGGATGAAAATCTCCGCGAGGATTTCAACCGGGAGTCGTTCAATAGGAGGGATGCTGAGCGATGTAACAGGGGAGAGAGGCTTGCGAGAAAGCATGGTTGCTTTGTAGACAGGGGCTGTAAACACTTGGTATTTGAAGCACTAAGATGTATCATGTTTTGGAAATCATAACGAACGTCGATTATTACTCACATCTTAGGTCAAGCGCAAGTTAGGACCCTAAGTAGGGAGAGGTTGCCCTCGAGGGCCTGGTGCACACATCTGGTAGGGTTTTCGAA